TTTTTAGAAATCACGTATTATCTCGTTTATCTCGTTTATCTCGTGCTATAAACAAAAATTTCAGTCTTGCTTCACATGAGAATCAGGATGTGATGATTAGTTGTGTAGTCTTATTGTTTTATGATACGTCCGTATAACGACACTTTCAACAAAAAATGCTGTCATTCCATCATCCGTGTGTAATACTGCATTGACACTGTAATGGTAGACTGTGTTATATGCTGCCTATTTTTAACGACCAACCTAAATCTTATCGTAAATGAAATAATAACCTACCAATTCTTGCCCTAATGACTTATGGGAATTTGTTGACATCACACTTGTTATAGTAGATAAATATTATTTTAAAAAACTTATGTTTTTGCCATTGGTTTAATAAAAAGTTTTCAAATGATGTGAATCATATGTATGAAAAACGAACATTTTAGTAAAAATTCTATTACATGAATGAATCAACCGATTTCCCAGCCAAAGATAAAGCAGGCGAATTTTATGTTGTAAATTGATGGTATTCTTAAACAAATGTGAGCGATAAAACATACATACACAGAATGTCGTTCTGTAGCCGGGAGACACTTACTCGATTCCAAATCACCAAGTGTACGGCTGTCAGAACCGAACATACCCATTTATCCTTTTTCTTGTTGTGCGTTCCACTGGTAAATTTGCATCTAATATGAATAATCGATTACCTTTAGAATTATATGTAAAATAATAACAAAATTATTCTACACCAACATTGGTTTTGTATGTAGTTGATATTGCGGCTTCTAGATCACGATATTGACTCCTGTTTTGCTTTGTTTATTGTGCCTCTGCTGCTTTCGTCTATCTCTGATTAAATCCTTGTTTCATGTGTTAAAGACTGTTCTTGTGAGATTTCTCATACAGGCGCCATCCATCCATCCATCCATCTATCCGTCTCACCGTCCTACCGTCCGTCCATCCATCCATCTACCTAACTATGAGGAACACATCTAATTGCTATGGAAGCTGTAAAAAGAATACATAAAAGACCATGAAATAAGGAAAAGCGTATTGATATGTGCAATGTTCGTGTATCTGTCTTACTTAAAATTGAACCTGTCAAACATGAAAAATAACACTTTTTATGTGTCAAAATATTGTATTCACTAAATGTATACTGATCCTGTCTATACAGATTAGCTAATTTGGGTAGATGCTTCAAACAATCCCTCCCCAGAATTTATGTTAGTCATTTGGCATGCTTGTAGATTGCAGTAAAAGTCATATTGATCCAAATCATACTAAACAAATTTTATTGACCACGCACTTTGTCTCGAATTCTAGAGGTATGCCATAACCTGCATGCGAGCTTTAATGAATTGGAATAAATGCACGATTCAATAGATATAACATTAATATGTCATTCTTTTGAAATCATCCGGTACTTCACGATTAAGAGATTTATGAAATTGTGGTGCACCTGTACTTTCCTATCAAGATTTTGACATTTCTTTCAACTAATACAACCTCAGGTGCCTTCCAGATTATGACACGCGAGGGCATTAATACAGGTCCTGGAAGGACGAAACAGCAGAATGGCGCAGTTTAATACTAGTTATTGCTTGACGCAATCAATTTTCTTTTTAATTTTTATTGATTGGTGTTGTTATCTCTTGTGTCTTGTGTACAATCCGATTTAACACATTTGCTGGATCAGGAGATCATCTCCGATGTATATTACATATTCCATTAAAAACTACCAAACTAAGGGAATCCACTGTTCTCTTGTTAAGTTTGTCCTTTTGTATCGCTATCTGGCTCCTGTAAAGAGAATGCTCGCGAACTATGCAAGAACAAATCTTGCGTCGAATAGGACGAAGTGTACTTGAAAATTGTGAGATTTATTAGAAATCCTTGTTGACAATATTTCTTGAGGAAAATTGATTTGGATTGTGATCATGATAGTAAAGATGGTCTTTTGTTGGCTCTAGTGTTTTCATAGGGACATATTTATCTAACAGCTAGACCGACGACCAAGGCATTCTATTTCACATTTAGTACACTTGCTAACCCTATTACTTCAATAAATTTCACAATATTCCTTTATAGGATAATTTTAAAAAGAATGTCAAGTACGGGTGTATTAAAAATTAAACGTTGATAAATTATATCCTGAGTTTAAAGTGTGTTCTGGTCCATCTCTTCCTTACCAGGGAACATCTTGTAAAAACATTGGATTACAGGTACTGTCAATCAAAGAATGTTTGAATATATTTGTTAATGGAACAATGGGGAAATAAATGCATTTGCGAATTAATTACAAATTAAGTGAACTTTTGCTCCTTAACACGAGAGATATACAGTTTCAATTGATGGCCACGATTCCGTTGTTATATTCCTTGTTCTCGTTTGAGAATGTGACATTACTTATATGAATTGACAAACATTTACATGGCGGGTGTCGTCGATGAAGCAGAAGACACATACTCTTCCGTAACACTTGATTGTATTTTTCTTGTAATTTTTTCAGGGAACTACGTGTTAATCATTCTTTTCTTGATGTTTTGTTTATGCGTCTTTTGATTTGAGTTCGGATTAAAATTGTGTTCACATGTAGATATGTTTCATTTTTAGATAAAGAGATAATTAATTTTTCTCCGCCGTTGACAATTAGAAATTAGAAATACTTGATTTGCAGGTTTTTATTGATCATTCTAGCTTCTATGTTGCGTATTGTAAAATGATAATGTTCACCTGAAAACATTAAAAGCTGCATGTGGTTGTCGTAATTCAGTTTCTTATTTATACATTATGTTCCGTTGGAGTGTAAAAGTAGTGTGATTTATTCTGAAATCTGATTAATATTACCCTTCTATTTCTAAATGGGTGTTGAAAGCTGTCATTCACTGATATCGTTGTTCACATGACCGTGAATAAATCTATGCGCTACGTTTACTTACCCAGAATCCGTGTAGGTTCGTTTTTTCATTCATGTGTACTCAAACGGACTGGTTTTAACGTTGATTAGTTATCACGCGATCACATTGACCTAGATTTGGTAAATGACCCTACGTCGTCACGATGATAGTACCGATCATTTTACATAGACCAGAAAAACATAATTACGAAAGCCACGCAGGCCATTTCTCCCTGTATCCATTTTCTCATGATGGAGATGACATTCTGAAGTCTAATTAATATAGAACACGCCAACTTCTTACAGGACTGAAAAATAATATAAGACATTGGGGATATCCTGTCGTTGCGTCTATGCGACATTTCCGCAAAGACTACGGAAAGTAGTTCAATACACCATGGAGTCATTCAATATGTCCTGAAGAAACCCCGCACACTGCTTTCAGTCAGCAAAATAAAGAAGCCAGCTGGGTTTTTTTCACAACCATATGACTCCACGAAAATCGCGTAAAATCGAATGTCAATAACACGATGCACAACAGCTAATAGTATCCTGTGAAATCAATTTATCAACTTTAAAACAACAGTTCCACTTAAATGGGAATTTCAAAAAACAATGTTTATTTAAAATCATATTAACATCAGAAGCGCAAATACGCTGTTCTACTTATAGTTTTTCCCCTTACATCTGTATAATTGTATGGTCTACATTGTGCCTATTACTAAAACATAATGGATTTGAGATATTCCTCCTTGTTTCCTATTAAAACTGATATGAAAAGACAATAATTCGTGTATAGTCAAATCGAGGAAACGAAAACAAAATACGGAAACAACGGAAAATATTCGACGAAGGCTACTGAAAAAGAAAATGAAGAATAAGACTAGGTACTCCGTACTAATTGAGAACAAGGTTAGAAAGGTAAGACATTTCAAATCGGATATAGTAAAGCCAGGTAACGAGAGAGCACCTTATAACGATACAGAACAAAACCCGATAACGAGTATCGAACACATCTTAATTCGTATCACACGAAGAAGTAAAACATTTCCCAAGGCGACCAACACTTTGTGCTAAACGTTTCCGCCGTGCGTATGTTTCTAATTTCATAAATAGCTTTTGAAAGTGCATCGTTCTAGAAGATGACTTCAGCGTGTATGGTTTAATCATCAAAGTCGCGAAATAACCCCCTTGAAATTGCCCATATTTACAGTAATAGGTTCACGTTGCACGTTATTGCATCGGGGAAACGAGGTAAGAGGGCTGTGATATTTCCTTTACAGGAAAATCTATGGTAATTACATTTCTTCTGCATATTGTATTGTCCAATAGCAATATTTCTTAAGTGCCTAGTTCCTAAGGAAGATCGAAAACAATAAGTAACACTGATACACAAACGTCGTAAGAATTGAAATAATAAGCATAGAACATCTGTTTGGAACATTCAGATACTTGGTACAAGCTCTAGATTACCACGGTCAACAGTGACGTTAACAATACATAAATAATGGAACATAGCTGGCTTATATCATATCACTGAGTAGAAGGGGGACATGTGGTAGATTTCATCTTACAGCTTGGTGACAGTGGTATAGTAGTTTATCACAGTGTCGATAGTAAGACTTCCCATAAAAACGCAACTGGGAATTTTTACTATTTACTTTTGATCGTTGGGAGGGGGTAATTCTTATCAAAGCATAGTGTTGTGAACAAGCCATAAAGAATTCTCAATAATTAATTTCTTTTATCTAGCATTCCTCTCATTTCAACAAGATTTTATAATCGTTACATCACTTCAGTTAAGGGATGAATAGCTGTTTGTTGTTTCCAAACATTTATATTACAATATACATGTTGTATTTATACTTCGTTTGCTACGTTAAATATTACCTATGTATCATTGTAATGTCGTCATCCAATTATTGGTTGGTATAGGTTATCGTTTATTGTTTCAGTAACATCAGAAGATGGTGATTTTGAAAATATCATCATCAGTCTGCAAATAAAAAATAATAATAATAATAATAATGTTCTTTTCCAATACCAACAACTAATCCTTTGTTAACGTTGTTGTCTGTCTTCTGTTTTTATTTTTGTGACTATTTTTATGTTACAGGTAAACTGGTACCACTGTTTGAGAACGCGTCTTTGAATGCCTCCGTTCTAACGTTATGGGTGATAAGTTGTGAACGCTACCAAGCAATATGTCGTTCCCTCAAAAACAACATCTGTCAGCTAGCAAAGAATGCCGGAAACTGTGTACTTCTCATCTGGGCGTGCGCCTACTTACTCTCGCTTCCGTTTTTCTTTATGACGTACCATGAGACGGCGTCGTTTTACGACGGCACGGAAGTGATGGTGTGTCGTACTCATGTAAACGAGTTTTGGCACTTTTTCTACGTCACAGCCATGACGGTTGTATTCTTTCTTTTACCACTTGTGATCTTACTATTTATGTACTGTGCTATCATTAGAAAAATCTTTCTGACACAATCACCGGATGAAAATCCGCCAAGTCGTCAGCGGAAACAGGCCATTTTGATGATTATAGGAGTTGTTACTTTATTCTTCGTGTCACTGGTGCCAATCAGGACGGTTACAATGTGGATTGTCTACTACTCCTCGAACGACGACAAACGACAACTGGGATTCGAGACTTACACCAATTTTATCTGTTTAGCTAGAATAATGTTAAACGTAAACAGTGCTGGGAATCCTATCATATATGGACTTGTGTCCTCTAGATTCAGGATGGCATTCCGCAATATTGGAGCTTGTGGAAGGCGGTCTTCAAACAATGAGCAATCAAAATTTCCTACAGAAATATCAACTTCTAAACATAACCCAAGAGTTTTCAAAATGGAAAGGAAAAAAGTTTCGTTTGGTACTAATGTATGACGAGACCCAGTGGTACTAATGATAGTACAATGCTGACGGATGTTTCTTAAAGTTGTGATACGTTTTATCATCTCACTAGGATAATGAAATATTGTTACAAAGCAGTTCCAAGTGGAAAACTGATAATATTGAGTAACACATTCTACCTCTTTTATGAAGAGTTTGGAACCTTTCTGGGGAAAAATGTTTCATGAGAGGGGTATTGTAAAAATAACAAAAATGCATTTTGTCTCTCGTTTTTTTTTGTGTACGACAATATTACACATGTGCAGTAGTACTTGTTTCATTGTTTGCCAAAATCATCAGTCAACACTTAATTACAAAAAATAAAACAGCGTTAACACAATTTTAAAAAATAATAACAAGCATTCTACCCTCAAACACAAAATATATCAAACAATCAAAATACAAAATACACAAAACAGTCAATACATAAATACAAAGTATATCAAACAATTAACACACAAAATACACCAGTCAATACACAAACAAAAAATAAATCAATAAACTCACAAATACAAAGTACACAAAACCGTCAAAATAAGATATATCAAACAATTAACTCACAAATACAAAGTACACAAAACCGTCAAAATAAAACATAAAAATAATCATTAAAATATATCATTTATCAAACAGCCAACACACATACAAAATACATCAAACATTCAACATGAAAAAATATGAAACAATTACAAACACAAACGCAAACTATACTAATTATTCAACACACAGATACAAAATACATCAAACTGTCAACAAAAATATAAAAAGCAATTAACACTCAAGTACCATATAAACCAAACAGTCATCAAACAAACACAGTGTCGTAACTCATATCATACTACCAGTTGAGTGATTATTGCTATGCACAAATCAAAATATAACAAAGCTTTAGTAAAAAGGACAAACTGTATATAAAGTACAGCATTGATATTAGAAACCACACCAATTAAGGTAAAGGGTAGCAAAACATAGCCAAGAAAATTCCAAAATGTTTTTAATATTAGTTCAAAATCAGAATCGATGAAATAACGGTATCATAAAAAACAATATTTGCTCTAAAGCCCTTGAGGACGTGACGAAATCTAGACAAAGAAGGGAATGTTTCCTCTGCCTCATTGACGACAAAAATACATCACGGCACCAACACTGACAAATTAAACCACACTGTCATACTACATACAAAGACATATAGCAAAGCGTCAATACAGACAAACTATACCAAAGCGTCAAACCATATACAAAAATATAAAAAAAAATAGAAATATACCACAAAGTCAACAAAAAAAAAAAGGAAAAACAAAATATTTAAGGTCAAAATACCACCAACTTTGTATTGAAATGAAAATTCTTAGTTATAGTGCAAAATTCTTTATTTTTGAAATGTTGGTGTCTATGTACTATTAGGCATAAAATTTCCATTGTATCCTACTGAAAAGACAATAACACTTTCTGCTGAAATACTAAATTTTACTAGGTATGTTTTAAACCCTTTACGAGTTATACATCTGGAGTAATAAACATGAACACGTAAGTTGAACCGTGATGTAGAATATGTCCTTGACATGAAGAATGAAAGTTGCTTCGTCAGAGAAACAATGGGCACCGTCAGATTCTGCAGTATTTGTCAGATATTCATACCGTTTTGAATTTTACATCTGCGTTACAGATAAGTTACTATATATCTAAGTATCGTTCCCTATGTAATCTAAGCGTGTCTTTTATTTTGAGAAAGACTAACCTCCCGTGCGAATTTACAACTTCATAGGCTGTTGTCTTTCTCTGAAGGTCTTCATACACTTTTGTACAATGTAACGTCCATAACAGCCGATGTCACTATAATTCATTTCAGTTTGGTATATTGTGAAACACTCTATATCAAGTCTACCTATTTAAAGAGTCCAATTAGTCCAGTATGACGTAAAGTCGTATATGAGCTGGAAAAGCAGGAATTCCATTTAGACTTTTGTCCATCAAAATTACTTTTAGTCTTGTTTAACGTTAAGTCATGTATGCATTGGTTAGATCTTACATGCACTAGAAAACAAAATATCACAGCATTTGTTAATAAGATCAATAATAAAAAAAGATTATGAAATTTATATTTATGTGTTGCAGTTAAAAACAATGAAACTACCAGTATGCCAATTTAATCGTTATTTAAATCCAAATTCAATAAAACTATGTCAAAAGATGAACCAAAATAGATTTACACTTACATCCTTGGAAGAACCTGGAGACCACGTGTTCTGTAAGAGAAACCCGTCATGCATATCTTGGTTAGTTCTAATTCGTTATGTCGCCATTTCAAATGAGAACAAGGTGTACAAAAATAGAACCACCAGGAAGACTAATGAGCATCACAAACGCCAAACTGTATGTCGAGTAAAGAAATTTAGCAATAAAATTACTATGGCGAACCTGAAACGTCATTTTCATCAATCTGCATCTCTCGAAACATTTTGATGTGAGTTTGTCTGTCATTTGCCGACATCGATCATTACTTTGAGAACAGGCCCTTGGATATGGAATAACTGCGACATGTGAAACACCATCGGTTGGAGGTCCAGAAACAGAAACTCATACCGGCGAAATTCAAATCATCTCGCTTATCATTTAGCCTTGTAAACATTTGTCTGTGAAAGTTTATCGGTGAACTGTCACGGGAATCGTAATATATTGAACAAAGCCGTGGATATCTGATCAGCTGCAACATGTTTATACAATAAGTAGGGGAAGCACAAATGTTACCACCAAAGAACAGATTTACAGTAAAGTTGCATTGTAACAAATATATGAACCAATGCATTTACAAAAGCTGGACATCATATCATATAAAACAAAACAGAAAGCATATTTCTTCTAGGTTGTGCGGAGCGATAATAAATAGAAAAGTCTACATCAATAATCTACTAAGTAGTCAACAATAACGTCTATTTTTTTTTATTTCTTCCCAACCATTAACAAATAATTCATAGACGAAGAAATGTTTTCAATTATCTACTTTAATACAACACAACAGTTTATGACTAAATAAGAAGATTATTCTGTCATGATACTAAACGTCGCAGAGAAAATGATTAGTTGCATTTAGGTGTATTTCTTGACTCAGGCTGTATATGGAGTTTCAAATTGAATAGATAATTAACATCCTTATTGTTCTGCACTTCTAACTCTAATTTCTGAAAAACCTTAAATTGAAATTGAAAGGTCCAAACAATTACAATTTACCTAACACTTGACTGAAAACATCTTCTATCTGACAGGAACCGGACAGATACCAACATTAAACATTTTACTTCGTATTTGGAGATGAACTACGCCAAAATGAGTACTCAAATAGGCAAAGTTATTTTTAACCGTGGTGACAGAAGAAATTTCACTTCATAATGCATATTGATAAAACTATGAATTATTCAGAGTCAGTTTTATTAACGATCAACTCTTTGCGTCACTTGTGAAAAAGACTCTCATTATTATTGTTATTTTTTTACAATTTCATTGAACTATTGCATGACAAAGAAAACTTAACCGTTGCATTCAACTTAGTCTGTGATTTTGGTTTGCGATGCGATTTTCACGAACAACAAACATAACAAGACAATACCAATGCATATTTATGTGAACATAATCATAATCCAAACTCAAATTCAACAATTTCAAGGGAAAAAAGAAAGTCTTACAAAGTCGCTGAAAATGATTTCCTTGCACACCTGACAAGATATTGTAGATACAAACAGATGTTGTAAATTTGAACGAGAACATGATAAGATAAAACAAAATCAATGCCGAATTCCGTACTCTCCACAAATCAGCAATATCCGTATTTCGACCAGAGAAAAGCAGGTGGTAGGTCATTGTTATCATTTCCTTCACGACATGTGGTGGCCGTCAGAGTCTTTTAGGTAATTACAAGGAATGTTTTTAAAGTCGTGAAATAGCGATGGAGTTAAAGAAGAAAAACAATTTAGAACTTCAATAAAAAAAATACTCAATAGAAGATACACATATTATGGCATCTTTTTTCGATGCTAAAAGTGTTCCGAAACAAAATGGGTCTATAAAGACTCTTTAAATGTCACTACTCTTAACCACAGACTAGTTTTCCGTGCATACTGCACTACAATACTATTCCGAGCTACACGTACAACATAATGACAGATATCCAACATGAATCAAGAACAATCTTCAAGGTTACATCTAGATTCGAGATGTAGTATTTAGCAAGTTACACACAAACGTTAACTACAAAGATCAGATCATAAATTACGAAAAGGAACAAAGTTACCGTCACTCTCTGGAACCAGAAACCGACAAATACAAAAAGTCCGCCTTTTACAATGTTAGTGTAAAAGCTACAGACTTCTAATCTACAATCTACAGAACCCAAATTTCACAAGAGTTAGCATCATACTATTTTGGGAACAAACACCTTACAAGCAAAAATAGTTTAGTTGTAGGAATAGATCGAGATAATCGGCTGATGTGTATATCAGATGGACGCGGTGAATGGATTTCTTGATATTGAAAGTCAAGACGTTATGAAAATGAAATTAAATGTCTTTTCATGGTCTTTGTGGCCAAAATTTTGATAAGTCGTTTGATAAATTCAGCCTCGAATGATAACAAAAACAAGACAACCAACAGAGGGGCACAGTTGGTTCCCATATGTATACCAATAGTTTGTATAATAATAATAATAATAATAATATGCAGTATTTATATAGCGTTCTATACTTTTTAAAAAGTTGAGCTCAAAAGCGCTTTACAAGCCGTGTTTTAAAAACTTATCTCTACAAAGACAATATAAAAAATACATCACATATCTATCCATGATACTACAAATTGGGTAAATTTATGAAAAGTCAAATACTAGCGCAAACTAATTAAAACACTATTAACACATCAAATGCACGTTTGAAGAAATGCGTTTTCAGTCTGGATTTGAATACCGAGTGAGTCATATTCATTCCACAACTGTGCTGCCGAGTGGTCAA